GGTCTTGAAGGGTATCTTAAAGAAGCTCGGGAAATGACATCAGACACATCAAGAATAAGCACCAAGTGTTTGAATACACAAGGGAAAAAAATAACAAACCCACATATGATAAGAGGACTACTGCTGAGAAAAAAAACTGTAGTAAGCAACCTTCAAAATGAACACAGGTGATATACCACTTTTAAAAAAGCGTCTTTATATTTCTAAATAGTAAAAGAAGCTGGGTACGTAAGAATTTCTGTTAATCCCCATCCTGAGCTTGGCTTTCACAAGGCACCAATATGAATAAGGCACCACATTCTATTTGGGCAACTAAACTGAGTGTGAAGCTGAGAAACAGAAGGGCAGTGAAAATTATTAAGCCCCTGGCAAGCAAGAGCTGTGAAGAATGAGTAGGGGTGGGATTATTTATCACTGGAATAAAAACACTAGAGGGATGACTTCACTGTGGTTTTCAAATACACGAAGATGACCAGCTGTTCTTTTTCCACTACATGCTGAACAAAAGAAGGCTGGTTTGAATTTCTATAAGGAAGATGTACAAAGAACTATCTGATCAGCAGGGTAGGTTACAGAAGCTCCTTCGCTGAAAATCCAGAATCACATCCACAGCCAAATGTCTGAAATAATTCATGCACAACCCTTCCTGTTTGACACTAGAGGGGCACCTGCCAGATAATCCAAACTTTCTCTCACCCCCTAAGCTCTGCAATCGGCATGAAAGCTATTGGCTTACAGTCTGATCTCCTTCTGTTTATTTTCACCCTGAATCTGGAAAGGAGGTGATATAGCAAGGATGATCCAACTCCATGAGGACTCCTGACTGGTATCTCTGTATTCTGTCACACATCTCCAAAACAGATCAATTCACAAGTTATTTAAAACCGAAGACAGGGCAAATGCCTGGCTCTAGTGGATTCTCAGGACTCCTTGGCATACTCTTCACAATGTCTGCTTTCCTCATTGGGGCTTGGCCTAAGCTCAGCATTAAAAAAAAGTTATTTTTTTAAAGTGATTTAATTCATCTAAAAAAGTGATTAAGCCAAGAGTTAAAACTATAAATAAGGTCCTTTAAGGTGTGGAATTTAAATGAAACTGTTCCAAGTGTCACATTTTTTAAATGAGGACAAATCTGATTTTGAAATTAACAGTTGCCTTGAACAATCGAAACATTTCAAATATACTCACAATCATAGCAAATTTCTTTAGGGAAGCAATGGGTAAAAAAAAAAAAAAAAGCAATCTATCTTCTGGCTGCATTTAGCAAGAGTATTTTCTTGTGGTACCAGACATCTGTAATTACCATGGATGCCTTTCTTTTCAAATCTTCTAAAGCAAATGTGGTAAACTGATGGCTAGTGGGCCAAATCAGGTCCACCCATGGGTTTCCAGAATTCAATTAAGAATTTTAGTGCCCATACTAAAGAAAAATAATCAGACTTTTTTCATGTAAAACTCCAGATTCTCAGTTTCTCTTGAAAAATGGGACAATCAGGAAACACTATATGGTCACAACTGGTTGGAGCGGCTGCTCCCTGTAGGTGCAGCACAAGGGTGTCTGCTGGCCACAGTCTCCACCAGGCCCCACTGTCTCTCTGAGCCTGAGAAGGGTTTGTCATCACACCTTATTTATCACTACACTTGCTACAGGGGGGCCTCCTGAAGGAACAGCATTTGTTAAGTAAGAACAGACTCTTTCCCAACAATATCAACTAGAAAAGGCTCATAATCTTCTCACTGCCATTGTCCACCTCTTTCCAATAAAGACAGAGTAACCCCTCTCTCCTTAAGAGAGCCCCATGAGTGCTGAGGTGGTTGCGGACTGCAGGGCTCTCTCTCTTTAGGGAGGACAGTATGTTATTTCTTCACCAGGAATTAAAAAAATAAAAAAAGCTTTTTTCTTCCTTTGTTTCTTTTAAAGGAAAAGACAAGCCAACTCTGAACTTCTGATCTGGGGCTGTCTTCAACTATAATTGTGTCAACTAAAAACTCTTTGTCTCATGACTTTTATGGCCTCTCTCATGTTGGGCTCAAAATACTATTACCTGACTGGGTCACCCACTGAAATCCTGGGACCTGGGCCTGGATGAGTTCTGATTCTCTGGAGATCAACGTGCCTCACAGCCCCAGGCCTCAGTCCTCCAGAAGACTCCTGCCCCTGTGTGACTGGGCTGGGCCCATCCAGGCAGTCCCCACTGCTTGTAGCTCATCTCAGAGAAGAACACACCTCTGCCTGGGCCTTCATCCACCTGGTCGTGCTCTAAGAGAAGCCGACTGTGCCAAATGCTAACGTGTCATGTGTGTCAGACATGTAGGGCATCGGTGAGTCAAGATAAACCACCAGCTCCCTCATTTCAACCACCTGCCCTCTCCGGTTGGCTGAAGGAAGCCTGGACCTACCTCTGGCCTCCTGTACAGAGGATACCACTTAACTGAGCTACAGAGCCCTTTACTCTCGGGATGAAGGCCCTTCATTGAGTTCATTCCCATATTCGAATTCTTGGTTCCCCAGCATCTGAAAGCCTGTGACTTTTGAACCTTTATCTGAATTCTGTCCTATGATTTCCACCATCCAGGACCATTCGTGAGTCAAAAGCACCTCTGCAAAAACGTTTTGCATTAATCCATACAGTAACCATTCCCACTTCCAGCATGAAGTGGGGAGGGTTTTAAAAAAAAAAGTGAAAGTAATAAGACAACACTAGGAAGTTGGACTTCTCAACTATTCAGAGCTGGGCATTCACACTGTCATTTTCATTACTTGGTACAAAAGTTTGATTTTGCTGAACATCACAATCTTTAGTATTTCAAAATAAGTACCTAAACCCTAAATCCAAACTAAAGCATCACTTGATTTTTGGCCAAGCACAATTTTTCCTTTCCATTTTCCGAGTGAGTTTATTTAGCAAGCTCTCTGCCCATGCTCACAGAGCTCAGCTGATGCTTCTTATCCAGTCTTTCACTCTGTTTCTGGGGCCAGTTTCTCAGAGATGCCTCCTTTTACATACAAAGCTGAACATCTATCCTAAGGCAGCTCCTAATGGCACCACTGGGGCATGCACCATTTCTTGACTTCAGTAAGAAATCATTCTGAAAATGTTCCAAAGTGAATTTTCATACATTAATAAGACTGACCTATCTCCTTCCCAGAATGGATGCTGACAATGGAATGGCAGGACACTCACAGGTGCGCAGAAACTCTACATTCATCTCGGATTCCACAGTGGCAGCATGGAACATCCCTCCTCCAACAAGATGCTTGGTCTTACAGGGAGACAGTTCTGCAGCCCACTTGTCTCTCCCTCGGAGCAGCTGCAGGAAACTCGATGCCAGAGAACAGACGAGCATGTTCTTCTCCCAAGAAGCTGCCAGCTGCCTTTAGAGCAGGCAGTGTGGTATTTGCATCAAAGATACACACAAACCTCTTCTTTCCAGCAAGGGTGCAAGCCTTCCCTTCTCCACCTGCTGGGCATGAGCCTCGAAGGAAAAGTCCTCCCCTCCCCACTTCCCCACACCCCACCTTAGGATGCTTCTCAGTGTCCCCCGCTCAATATTGGTCCTATTTTGTGAAGGAGTGAAAATCAGGGTCCCTGGTATTGGTGCCAAAATCCAACAGCATTTATGAAAAAGGCAGAAAAAGATATTCACTCCCCCTTAAGGTCATGGAGATGGAAAAGGAACAACTATTTTCCCTTTGGAAACTAAAATTCTGTGCAGAAGTCACTCATAAAAACAGAACATATACTTCTCCCTTTTAAAGCAAATTCTTTCCTCTTAAGCTCTCAATACCTATTTTTGGTAGAGTGAAATACAAGAGACAAATCTTTAATTGGGTAAGTCAAACAAAAAGAAAACGAAACCTTATTCACAGGCTGGGGTTGTGAGGGAAGTACTTTAAGATTCAAGAATTTAATGATTTCAGGTCCCATGTCTTCTCTAGACAATACTTGAAGAGCACATTCATCTTTGTAACAATCCCTTCCTTTTCACCTTCTTAAAAAGAGGTTTGTCATTAGGTAAAACAAGTTCAGCAGATTAACTGGCTACCACCTCCACATACTGCTGTTTTGTCAGTGGATTCTCATCCCTAATTTTCTGTTCAGAGCTTTAGACTAGAGGTCAACCAAAGCATAAATTACAACTTCGGTGAATACAGCCCAGTTAGGTATCAGTTTCTTAAAAATAAACATTTAGGCACCAATATCTGAGATTCAACAAAGTATAAGCCAGGGAAACTTGGTGGGCAGACCTGGCCCCTGCGTGACGCCTATTCAGGTCAAGATGTGGCCTCAGTGCCCTCTGCACATTGACCAACCCATCTCAGAAAGAATGGTCTAGATGGTGATCGGCCTAGCCCTGCAGCCCCCTCTTTGGACAGACATGTCCCCCAGTAATATATAAGACTCATTTTTATGAAAAATGACTGTATATTCAGTTACCTTCTTGACCTCTGACTCCAGAGCTTTTTTTTAAACACCCCTGGCATTGTAAATGGCACTGTAAATTCCATACCAACAATGGAAAGAGGCATTATCTTTAACTACATGGATTCCAGAGAGACTGGCACTTGACTTCTGCGGGCTGCAGTGGCATCAAAAGTGCTTTTTCCACACAGCATTTCAAATCAATACAGCCAATAGCTAACTGGCAAAGTTTGCACAGATAAATTAAGTCTGAATGATCAGTGCGGCTATTTTCCTGTTTCTTCCCTACCTCCCAAAATTGGCTCTAGTCCAAAGTCTGACCTAACATGGCAAGCTGCTGTCAGACATTATGGACATGCCTTTCACAGTTCCACATGGTTTCAGAGAACTGGTGACTCTGCCAATATATTTGGTAGAGAATAGAGAGGCAAGGAGAGCAAGTACTGGCCAGGATTTTGCTCTGAATATCCTTGTAAGAGACCTCAGCTCCAAGTGGGCCACATACCCAGAGAGATGAGCTGGGGAACCAGAGAGAGGCGGCAGCTAAAGTGGCAATGCTTAGACTCTTCCATTCTGTTACAAAGGGGCGACCGTGTGGAGTTCACCAGTGTAGCTGCAGCAACCAGGTTCTGCTTTGCATGCCCCTGAGGCAAGGAGCTTGGAAGGAAGGGCAGGAGGGTCTTCCTCACCTAATAAGAGAAGAGAGGGCAGAGTCACATGTTACTGCTGGGTGCTCAAGGCAGAATGAGGCTGGATCTGGGTTTGCACCATGCACTTTGCACAAGTGAGGCAGGCATCCCCACCAGCTCAAGGCTGGGCATTCTCATCCTGCCACCAGATTCCAGTTCCCTCAGCTGAAGGGCCAGGTTTGCATGCATGAGCTCCAAAGAGTTATAGGCACAGTAAGAGCAGCTCCAGATGGCATCCTGTGGGGGGTTCCCTGGGGAAGCAGGCCCTTCTACCAGAGCCTGTGTTGAGCTAGAATGGAGAGAACACTATGGCCCCATGAACCCCTGGGTCAATACATGTGGCTTTAAAGACATTGGCAAGCTGGGGAGTGGTGAACTCTACAAATCTACAGGTCCACAGACACTCATCCAACACACTTGGGGCCCAATGTGTTTAGTATCGCCTTTAGAAAGGCGATCTAATGCACATACTGTATGTTACATAACATGGTACTTGGGCAGCTCACCATAATTTCTTATCAGTATTTCTGTAGTGCACACACCTGAACAATCCCATTACCTACCTGGGAGGCTATCAATGTAGTTTTGATACTTCCCATAACGTTCGACTGACAAATAAAATTGCTGCAAAATTAGCAAAAAGCTTCTCCTGGATTCTGGAATCCTAGGGCAAGGCTGCGGCCCGTATTAGGAACCCAACCCACCGAACCACCAGCTTCCCATTCCCCGCGCCTCACCCAGCCCTGAGGAGGACGACACGCTCTCTGTCAGCGAAGATGTCTCCGTCTGGTCTGCGGAGAGCCCTTCCATCAGGGGCAGGGACAGCTCGGACGAGGGCACGGATGAGTCGTAGATGCCCGAGTCCCGCGGCATGTCCGAGGGCCCAGCCGCTTTCCCCGCGTGCAGCAGGGGCCGCAGGACGGCACTGGCACCCACGACCACGGGTCCAGCCTCCACGTCTCCGTCAGGCCCGAACTGTGGGCCCCCAGAGGGTGGGTCGGCTGGTGTCCCGGGGCCCGCCGACTCGGCCTTGAGGCCGAATTCATTCTCAGGCCCTGGCTTGCAGAGGACTTCGTTTAAAACCAAGCCTGAGTCAAACTTCTCCAAGACTGGCTCCCGGTAGCGGAGAGGAGGTGGATGGAAGGGAGAGAACTGTTTCTCAAACCAGTCAGGCTCCTCATCAATAAACTGGTGCATGTTGCAAATGGCGACATACAGAGAGCGGCCCGACTTGCTCCGGAAGTAGTTCCTTCGGCTAACCCGTCCGGGCTGCTGCCCCGGCTCTTGCGGACTGCGGTCCTGGGAGTGCAGATGGGAGCAGAGCTGGGGAAGATGGTCCATGAGTTTGTACTTAGTGCTCAGGTCCAGGACGCCGGGAACGTCTCCTTCGCAGGAATAATCGAAGTAGACGGCAATGAACTTGCTGAGAGCCGCGGATGAGCTCTGCTTGGCCTGGCGGAGCTTCTCGGCAATGGCAGACACCGCCACCAGGAAGAGTTCCCCTTTCCCCGAGCCTCGGCCGCCTCCTTTGTGCTTGTAGTTCTTCTTGTCCACGAAGTATTTCATGCCTTTGGAACACACCACGATGATAAACTGGGACTCGTGGATCTTCTGGATGACCCATTCTCTCTGCCCTTCCCTGCAGAGGCTGAAGTCTTCCCACAAGTCCAGAGCCACCTGGAAAGAGACCAGGTAACCTCACTCACCTGTACAGCTTGGCAAGTCGAGTGACAAGATGGGCAATGTTACAAGAAGGGCTCATCATCTGCCCCAAATCTCTGCTTTGTGCAGGCTCCAGGCCACCCAGCTCCAAGGAACAGCTAACATTCCATGGGTGACCAACCACCAAGCACCAGGCCCTCTGCATCATGTCCTCTTTAGCATACTGTGGGATCATACCACACCCACCCTACAAGTGAAGACAGAAGTACAGAGTATCTGACAACCTGCTTAAGTCACACATCACATGTGAGGCCTTCAGTACACTTAAGAGTGTGATGGTGAGCATGGAAAACAGAGGAAATGAGGGAGGATCTATCTGATGAGTGAGGCCGCCTGGATGGGGGCAGATCCTGAAGAGAGAACTGGAAGGTGGTAATAGAAGGGTGTGGGTGAGGGATCTCAAAGTGGGCTGGGAAATGGAGTTCAGGTCTGGATGCCAGAGTCACCCACTCATGCTGCCAGCTGACTCAGCAACAAATAGTATGAGTGACAAAGAGGGCCTTCCTGGCCACTCTCGAAGCCCTGAGGTCAGCCTGCTGTTTACTAGGTGACTGGTGCATGGAGAGAAGGGTGATGATCTGCAATAACACCGCCACTCTGATTCACTCACTTGTAGAGACTGCCATCTCTCACCACGACTTCTCAGCAGTCGACAGGACCACATCCCTACCAGGCCTTTAACCCAAGGGGATGTCTGGGAGGGAGTTGGGAGTGGAGCACTGACAAAGTAAGACCACAGGACATGTGTGGCCCCTCAGAGGGCTTCACTTTCTCAGACCATCTTCACCTGATTCTGCTGCAAATTCTTTTGGTAATTTCATTTTGTAGTTCAGAAATTGATTTCCAATGCCTATGCCCAAATGTGGCAGCCACAGTCTCTTATGGGGGAAAGGGTTCTGAAATGACTTTGACTTCCTTTTTTGCTCTAAGGTATTACCAAAGGGAAGAAACTCCCCAACATCTACCTACTTGCTGAAAACAATCCTGAATTGTCTTACACTTTCCTTAATTCTCGCTTACATTATACATTCTGAAAGCTAACTGACCAACCACTTAAAAAAATGTTCCTCCCTGACCCAGCAATTCCACTTCCAGGTATCTGTCTTTGGAAAATCAACAGAAATGAGGCAAACTGGAACCAAAGATGTTTAACAATTTGAAAAAACTCAATTATGGTGAATCATTAATATGAACCATATGTCTACTTAAAACTTCAGTTTACATAGAACTACTAATAATATAAAAAGTCACTGAGTGAAGAGAAAGAAAAAAATAACTCCAATCCATCCAAAATGCAAAACTGTATGTATAAGTTCATCTATGCAGAAAAAGACTAGGAGGAAATACAGCAACTTTAACTGTGGTTCCTCTTCTCCAAGTTAAGATTATCATTCATTTTGAAATTGGTCATTCTTTTCTAGTTTCCAAATTTTCTATTACACCCATATTTATGTTACACTAGCCCACCTTTGAAGTTGCTCAGTTGTGTCCAACTCTTTGCGACCCTGTGGACTATAGCCTACCAGGCTTCTCCGTCCATGGGATTTTCCAGGCAAATGTACTGGAGTGGGTTGCCATTTCCTTCTCCAGGGGATCTTCCTGTCCCAGGGATCGAACCCAGGTCTCCCGCATTGCAGGCAGACACTTTACCCTCTGAGCCAGCAGGGATGCCCTAAAAAGAGTCCAAAATACAGTATTTGGATGCAGTCTCAAAAATGACAGAATGATCTCTGTTAGTTTCCAAGGCAACCCATTCAATATCACGGTAATCCAAGTCTGTGCCCCAACCAGTAATGCTGAATAAGCTGAAGTTGACAGTTCTGTGGAGACCTACAAGACCTTTTAGAACTCATACCCAATAAAGATGTCCTTCTCATTATAGGGGACTTGAATGCAAAAGTAGGAAGTCAAGAAACACGTGGAATAATAGGCAAATTTGGCCTTGGAGTACGGAATGAAGCAGGACAAAGGCTAATAGAGTTTTGCCAAGACAATGCACTGGTCATAGCAAACACCCTCTTCCAACAACACAAGAGAAGACTCTACACGTGGACATCACCAGATGGTCAACACCAAAATCAGATCGATTATATTCTTTGCAGCCAAAGATGGGAGAAGCTCTATACAGTCAGCAAAAGCAAGACTGGGAGCTGACTGTGGTTCAGATCATGAACTCCTTATTGCCAAATTCAGACTTAAATTGAAGAAAGGAGGGAAACCCACTAGACCATTCAGGTATGACCTAAATCAAATCCCTTATGGCTATAGAGAGGAAGTGAGAAATAGATTTAAGGGACTAGATCTGATAGACAGAGTGCCTGATGAACTATGGACGGAGGTTCATGACATTGTATAGGAGACAGGGATCAAGACCATCCCCATGGAAAAGAAATGCAAAAAGGCAAAATGGTTGTCTGAGGAGGCCTTACAAATAGCTGTGAAAAGAAGAGAAGCGAAAAGCAAAGGAGAAAAGGAAAGCTATTCCCATTTGAATGCAGAGTTCCAAAGAATAGTAAGGAGAGATAAGAAAGCCTTCCTCAGCGATCAATGCAAAGAAATAGAGGAAAACAACAGAATGGGAAAGACTAGAGATCTCTTCAAGAAAATTAGAGATACCAAGGGAATATTCCATGCAAAGATGGGTTCGATAAAGGGCAGAAATGGTATGGACCTAACAGAAGCAGAAGATATTAAGAAGAGGTGGCAAGAATACACAGAAGAACTGGACAAAAAAGATCTTCACGACCCAGATAATCACAACGGTGTGATCACTCACCTAGAGCCAGACATCCTGGAATGTGAAGTCAAGTGGGCCTTAGAAAGCATCACTACAAACAAAGCTAGTGGAGGTGATGGAATTCCAGTTGAGTTATTTCAAATCCTGAAAGATGATGCTGTGAAGGTGCTGCACTCAATATGCCAGCAAATTTGGAAAATTCAGCAGTGGCCACAGGACTGGAAAAGGTCAGTTTTCATTCCAATCTCAAAGAAAAGCAATCACAAAGAATGCTCAAACTACCTCACAATTGCACTCATCTCACACGCTAGTAAAGTAATGCTCAAAATTCTCCAAGCCAGGCTTCAGCAATACGTGAACCATGAACTTCCAGGTGTTCAAGCTGGTTTTAGAAAAGGCAGAGGAACCAGAGATCAAATTGCCAACATCCACTGGATCATCAAAAAAGCAAGAGAGTTCCAGAAAAACATCTTTTTCTGCTTTATTGACTATGCCAAAGCCTTTGACTGTGTGGATCACAATAAACTGTGGAAAATTCTAAAAGAGATGGGAATACCAGACCACCTGACCTGCCTCTTGAGAAACCTATATGCAGGTCAGGAAGCAACAATTAGAACTGGACATGGAACAATGACTGGTTCCCAATAGGAAAAAGAGTATGTCAAGGCTGTATATTGTCACCCTGCTTGTTTAACTTATATGCAGAGCACATCATGAGAAACGCTGGGCTGGAAGAAGCACAAGCTGGAATCAAGATTGCTGGGAGAAATATCAATAACCTCAGATATGCAGATGACACCACCCTTATGGCAGAAAGTGAAGAGGAACTAAAAAGCCTCTTGATGAAAGTGAAAGAGGAGAGTGAAAAAGTTGGCTTAAAGCTCAACATTCAGAAAACTAAGATCATGACATCTGGTCCCATCACTTCATGGGAAATAGATGGGGAAACGATGGAAACAGTGTCAGACTTTATTTTTTGGGCTTCAAGATCACTGCAGATGGTGATTGCAGCCATGAAATTAAAAGATGCTTACTCCTTGGAAGGAAAGTTATGACCAACCTAGATAGCATATTAAAAAGCAGAGACATTACATTGCCAACAAAGGTCCATCTAGTCAAGGCTACGGTTTTTCCAGTGGTCATGTATGGATGTGAGAGTTGGACTGTGAGGAAAGCTGAGCGCCGAAAAATTGATGCTTTTGAACTGTGGTGTTGGAGAAGACTCTTGAGAGTCCCTTGGACTCCAAGGAGGTCCAACAAGTCCATCCTAAAGGAAATCAGTCCTGGGTGTTCATTGGAAGGACTGATGCTGAAGCTGAAACTCCAATACTTTGGCCACCTCATGCAAAGAGTTGACTCACTGGAAAAGACCCTGATGCTGGGAGGGATTGGGGGCAGGAGGAGAAGGGGACGACAGAGGATGAGATGGCTGGATGGCATCACTGACTTGATGGACATGAGTTTGAGTAAACTTCGGGAGTTGGTGATGGACAGGGAGGCCTGGTGTGCTGCAATTCATGGCGTCGCAAAGAGTCGGACATGACTGAGCAACTGAACTGAACTGAGCCCACCTTTCCCCAGGCTAGTCACTCACAAAGTAGAGCAAACAATGGGTTGTTTGTATTTGAAGACTGTACCACTTGCTGGTCTTTCAGGCTGATCAGCCTACCTCTAGAACCTTCATACATTAGGAAACCCTGCCAGCTTTGTAAATATGCCTTACTGACACTAGGGGGCAGCCTCACCACATGGAGAGAGTCTAAGAAACTCATTGAGCCCTCCATCTCAAAGCACAAATAACTTCCAAGGGTGCCTCCACAGTAAGAGAATCTGCTTGCAATGGTAGAAACAGATTCGCGGGTTCGATCCCTAGATCAGGAAGATCCCCTGGAGAAGGAAATGACAACATACCCTGGTATTCTTGCCTGGGAAATCCCATGGACAAAGGAGCCTGGCAGTCTATGGGGTCACAGAGTTGGACACAACTTAGCAACTAAACAAAAAACAGAATCATTGTACAGTTCTCGCATCTGTAAGAAACAGAGTGTGTTTTCCATGAGAGCTTCAAGCTTCACTCTAAAATGAACACTATGACATTATAAAAAAGTTACATGTTAATAGCTTAACTCAAAAGAATAGGCAAGAAACCAGAGTAGACCATATGAGCACTTAACATGTTGTTAAGCAAAGCTCCCCCAAAGAATTGTCTAAACCCATTTCTTTACTTACCATTTTCTCTTTGACCCTCCAATGCCATGATGACCTCCTCCCACCACTCCCACTGCACACTGCCATCTCCTCCACCATCCATACACCCAACAAGTCTTTTTAAAGTATAAAAAACTTCCTGCCAGGTGGGTGCCACTCAAGGCTTTTGAGCAGGAGTGTCAGGGTTAGAACGAAGTGTCAGCAAACATTTCACTTCAATGATGGCTATGACAGGCTAAAGAAGAGTGCCACGGCTAAACCTTAGTTGGAAGCTAAGAGCTTATTAGCACACATCCCACCCAGGATAAAAGAAGAGACTTTACACTCCTCACCTCACAGCCACAGAAGTCCTGGAGGAAGTAGGCAAAGCACTGGACAACGTTCATGTGATTCTGGCCATCTTTGCTGGAATAGCAGAGGAAGACTTTGGGCCGAGGCCGGAGCCTCTCCCTGGGGAGTGCTGTGGTGTACGTGGAGGACTCCGAACTCTCTTCATCTAGGTGTGAATAGATATTTTCTAAAGAGAACAAGAAGATAGGGTTGGTGCCCATGAGCAGCGCTCTGACTCGTTCCCCATGTCCCGAGACGTGATGCTGTGTTCACTAGCCATGTCACCTGGCGTACTCCCAGCTCCCTAACTACCAGCCCCTTGGGTCACCTCTGGGAATGGGACAGCTGATTTCTCCAGCGGAGCCAAAAATGGCCAAAATTTGTTCTTCACCAGAAACTGACCGTGGTTAAGACAAAAACACTGCCGGGGCCACCCACCCACCCCCACCCTCCACTCTGGTCAGCTGTATCTTGAACCAGCTCTTGCAACTGAGTGCAGCTACCTGACCAATGAAGCTTCAGCAGAGCTGACGTCCTTTAAACTTTCATTGAGGTTTGGGGGAGCTTTTTTGCACAACTTACAAAGGTAAAGTGCATAAATCTTAAGAGTACATCTCAGGAAATTTTTATCTAAGTTTATACCTCTGTAACCACCACTCAGACTAAGATACACTTCCAAGTTTCCCACAAGCTTCCCTCATGTCATCGGACTTTTATAAGTGATAAAGCCCTACCTCTTCCCTTACTCACACCTTTGGACTTCCTATATGCTCTTGAATTCATCATCCTGAGTTTGAGAAGGGAAGTACACCCGTCCTTTTAGTGGCCCCTGAGGTGAAGAGTCAAGTATTTTAATTCTGGGAACTAGAGCAGCCAGGGAACTGACTACAGTTGTGTGGTTTTCCAGTCACTGCCTGCAGGGACCAAGTGCTCCCAGTCGCCCTCTGTTGGCCCCAGTCCTGCAAACGTGGATGGTGGGCCGGGGGCTGGGACGAAACACCACACCACACAAATACCTTGTTGCTTCTTGCGGCACATCACTGTGAAGAGCGTCGCGAATGCAGATATGACGACCAATGGCACAGTGATGGCCACGGCTCTGATGGGCCCAGCCCACGGGGAATGCACTGGGAAGTTTCAAAGGGAAGGCTTTTAGATGTCAGCAGTGTAACAGGTTCAAAGAGAAACATTTTTTTTTTCTTTTTAAAAATAAGCCACATAACAGGTTCCAAGACTCCCTGACCACCTTTCTCTAGTAATGATTCGGTGATTATAAAAGGATTCACTTTAAAAGACTGTAGCATACAATTCAACAGCTAGAATCTGCTGAGACCACTGAATACCTTTGAGTGAGAATCTGTCCAAGGAAACCTCCCATCCCACCACTTTGCTTCTGAGGACAATTGACTACTTATTTAGTCCCAGTGACACATGTAACACACTGGCTTTGATCTTCCAGGCATCAACATTAGGGTGGAAGGAAAGTCAGATTTGATGGAACATCATGTAAGAGTGAGGAGCTCAAGTGTTTTCTTTTCCTAAACCATGAAGTACGGAAAGTATCAAATATCTTGGTCCACTCTGTAGCTCAGAGGCAACATTTCAAACACACACACAAAATCTCACCTGGTTTTAAGGCATAATGCATCACTTTTCTTGTCGTATTACTGTCATCGACCAGCTGCAAAGCAGAGGATACTGTATTATTTTTTTTTAAGTGATAGCATCTCAACAGATTCCATTCATTTTTCCATCTGTGGTCAGTGGGGCAAGGGGAGGGCAGAGCTGCTGCTGCCTGTGATCATTTTCAAACTGAGATTAGACAGTAACAGTCAGATACATCTCTGCTTTTCCAAGCAAATGAGTATACAGAAGATAGATAAATAGTAAGGCCCTACTGTATAGCACAGGGAATTATATCCAATATCCTGTGACAAATCATAATGGAAAAGAACATGAAATAGGAAATATATATATGTGTGCATGTATAACTGAATCACTTTGCTATACAGCAGAAATTAACACAACATTGTGAATCAACTCTACTTCAATAAAACTTTTTAAAAAAACAGCAGTTCCCTGGTGGTCCAGTGACTAGGACTCGGTGCTTTAACTGGCAAGGCTCTGGGTTCAGTCCTCGGTTGGGGAACTAAGATCCTGCAGGCCACATGGTACAGCCAAAAAAAAAAAAAATTTTTTTAAATAAAAATAATAGGGCTTTCTTGAGTTGTGTATACCTCAATTATATAATCCCCAGGAGACACATTTTGAAGAAGGCAGCTGGTTATCTCTGTATTTTGCTCCTGCAAAGAAACAAATAACACTTTAAAAACTTTCTTCTCAGATAAAGGTCACCAGGACCCCTCTTTTGTTCTGGAACTGAATGAAGGAGACTTCCCACCAGTTTCAATTATGTTTTCAGAAGGTGACAATTAGAAAGCAACTGTGCTTATCTGCTAGGTTATCTGAACTTCACTCTGCTAAAAGGCCCAGGAGAGCCTGCGACCCCCCGTCATAGTCTATGTGGGCTGGTGGTGCCCCGAGCAGCAGTTTTTTTTATCTGAAGACAAAGAAGCTAGGTAGAATACCTTTTACTTAATAAAAGAATGGGGGAAAAAATTACCCTCCCCTGTTTGTGCATATTTTATTTGCCATAATAAAAGGTCAATGACAGAGGTGAGAGCCGGCAGGAAAACCAAACTCAGCACACCCATCTAGGAGGGCACTGGTTTCTGCTACCAGAAGTAAAAACCTCTCTCGGTGCTCTTGTGGGGTCATAGAGTAGTCTCATGAACTTCCATGAAATACCGCCCACTCCCTCTGACTATCTCAAGTTTAAGAACTTGGTTACTGAATTTCAAGTTAACCTTGGCCTCTGTATAAATTACGAGCCACTGACATGCTAGTGACTTGGCTCCCAGATTAGCTGTGAGGCCTTAAGCAGCAGGCCAGGTGACCTCCGTGGGCCTCAGGTTCCACATCTCTAAAGCGAGGATAACAGCAGCCTTGGTTTCATTGAGCTGTAAAGACTCAATGACCACAGAGCTTGCTGACCGGCACACAGTGAGCACCTGATTCAGGTTTGAAATGCAAAAGACCTGACAACTACGTCATTGTTTCGGATCCTTTGGTAAAACTTCACTGGCTACGTCAGCACTGGGCCGACTAGGTTAGAGATAATTAGATAATTAGGGAGTGAGGGGTGACTCAGGATGACCCTGAGATGAACTCAGTGATAACATTCTACCGACTGCTCAGAGTCCACAGAGCCTAATGTTCACACTGAACCATCCAAATTCCAGAGGCTCTGGGGTCACTTTGAAACATGCAGTGGTTTCTTTATGCATACCCAGCAGCTTACCTGTTTACAGGTCTTTCGCTTGAAGGGTCCTTCATGCTTGAGCTTGTAATGAAGATAGAAGAAACGGAAGCCAAAGGTGTGGGGCGCGTGGTCAAAAGACACCTGCACGTCCGAACCGTGCTGAGTGATGTTGAGGTTCCGAGGCTTCCAGACTAGGGGGCGGAAGGACCTGAGTGAGCACCCACTCCACTTGGGATTGGACAAAGACAGCTACATGTGTGCTCAGTCACTGCTATGTCCAACTCCTTTCAACCAAAGGGCCTGTAGTCCGCTAGCCTCCTCTGTCCATGGGATTATCCCACCAAGAACATTGGAGTGAGCTGCCATTTCCTCCTCGAGGGGATCTTCCCAACTCAGGGATCGAACCCACTTCTCTGCATTGGCAGGCAGATTCTTTACACTGTGCCACCTGGGAATCCCAAGAAGAGCTATACTTACAGGGTTTACAAGCCAGGTTGTCCGGCTGCAATAGCAGGTCACACGCTATTAAGAAAGACACATGTTTTTAGTTTTAGGACAGTTTGACATCTTCCTCACCTAACAATTCAATACAATATAAATATTCGGTACTGAACATTGCTGGAAAGAATGTAAAACACAGCAACCGCATCGATTCAACAATGCTTTTCAGTATAGCCCAGTTGTATCTTGTGAAAGTTTGAATTATACAATATAAAGATATTAATGCAGTTCATTTTATGCCACATAAGTGGAAACAACATGAAGTCACCTACATTTTAAAAGCTTGTCAGGTATTACATAGTTTCAAGGCCATGGCCAAGGGCAGCGAGACTGTGTTCATGCTTCTGTCCTATGGAGGGGACTGTTTTAGCTATAGATAGAAATAATGCCAACCCCTACCCAACTGCAGAGTGTTTAGGCATAAGAGAACATCGGAGTGATCCTGGCAGCTTGTCTTGAGGTTACTTTAACTTTTGCTGGCTCTCCAACTTAAAATCCTTTTGATGGAGTCTAAAAATGACATCCAGGCATCTACTAGGTAGCAGCACCAGTGCTGAAAACGAGGAGCTTTGAAATAGGATTTAAATGTGATTAAAAAAAAAACAAAACACCATGAGAGAGGCCCTATATGCCATGCTGCTAACCCAGGAGGACCCTCTGGAAAATGTGCTTACGATGCCAAGAAAATCAAAGGCTGCATTGAGGTCATGGTGCCCTGAAATGGTGATAAATGCACCTCCTGTCCCACCTCACTCCCAGAGAGACCCTGATTCTGATGAAGAAAATTAAAGTAGGCTAGTTTTGATTTAGGCAAGCTTTCCATAAACACATTCTTTGAATCCTCTATCTGGTTGTTACATGTAAGGCATTGAGAGATATTGTAAAATGCACATGGTCTCTGCCCTATGAAATCTTATTTTCATTAAGAAAGTGAACGTCTCTGCATAGAAAACCACTACGGTGTTAAGAAAACAATCAGAGTAAGAACTCTGCAGAGCAGAGTAAGAACTCTAAAGCAGCAATTTGTGCTGATGAAAGACACACCCCACTGTGTGCAGAACAGGTGGAAAGGGAGAGGCAGGCAGAGAGGGGAACCCAGTCCAGCCAGTGGTTGGTTGCAGGGTGAGGACTCCAGAGTCGGGCTCCGTGGCATTCAAATCCCAGCCCCAGCAGCCCCTTTAATCTCTCTATGTGTGGCTCCACCTCTAGTAAGTGGGGATGGTAAGATTAAATCCTTTGTAGGGCTGTTATGGAGGTCAACTGCATTAATATTTGGAAAGTATTTAGAATGGAGTCTGGCACAGAGATGTTAAATAAATAAACTTCCTAGAATGAGGTGACCTCAGGGACACTACTTGATTTTCTTAACCTAATCTTGAAAAAATGACAGGCAGCCACCCACAGAGGCCACCCTCCTGAGGACAGGTACAGAATGGAATCCTTTGATGCTTATCCTTCACCTTAAAATAAACTTTACTTTCTTTTCCTCTTAAGTTAAACAATTTTACTACATGGCTGTATTGCAGCACCTTCAAAAAAGGTCAGTTGTCATGTCTACTCTATAACAAGCCAGGAATGGGTGTTTCTGGTTAGATGACCAGTTGTTGTGTAGTTGCTCAATTGTATCTGACACTTTTGTGACCCCATGGACGGAAGCCTGCCAGGTTCCTCTGTCTATGGGATTTCTCAGGCAAGGATACTAGTGTGTATTGTCATTTCCTTCTCCAGAGGATCTTCTTGGCCCAGGGATCAAACGCATGTCTCCTGCATTGGCAGGCGGATTCTTGACCACTGAGTTGCCAGGGAAGCCTGGGTCAAATCTTAATTTTATTTTTTCTTTTTTTTTTCCCAATTATTTTTATTATTTGGAGGCGAATTACTTTACAATATTGTAGTGGTTCAAATCTTAATTTTAAAAATTGCTTTTCTGGATGCTTTTCTCTTCCCCATGTATTTCGTGTACTCTTGAACATATCTCTGTCAAAATGTCTTTAAAAGCAGGAGAAATGTCTCCCTGTGGAAAGTAGGCAGGAAAGACCATACTTACTGCGGGTTCTGAAGAAGAAAGGGTGATAATTGCTTTCATTTTTAATGGAAGGAAAAGGGACGATCTTTACAAAGTAATCCGTTTCAAATTTCATATTCAGGAAAGGTTGAGATTCCATCCCCTGAAAGGGATCAAAAAACACGTGTGATGTCATGGAGAAATCACCCACCCCTCTACCTACGTGCAAGAATTCCAGTCCATCCTGATAGTCCCCCAGACACAGTTCTAGGGTTTGGGGGGGGGGGGTGTCCCAGGGCAGGAAGAAGTCAGGTTTCTTTTCCAGACCAAATTTAGGTTTGGACCCCTAAATGAAAAGGAATATGGACAACACTGTCTGTTTTTCTTACAGTGAAGCCGAGACTCCAAGCTGGTGGGGAAGAGTCCACATCCTCTCCTGAGGCCACAAAGCCACCTTCCAGGATGGCTGCTCCACTCCAGCTTGTAACCTGAGAGGTGTGTCTGTCTTACCACCAAGAGGTGCTGGAGGTTTCTGGGAGTGTGGAGCAGGCTCGCCCACCTGGGCAGGCGGGTTGGACTCCGCAGCCCCTCCTCCTGCACTTTCACAGGCTCTCAATAGACCATTCAGTCCCCAGAACAATGGCACGTCTTCAGGAGTGCATTCCCCTGCATGCGACTTACAGCTCTTTTGAAGCTACTGTTGAGCTGCTTCGGGTCCTTTAGAATCAGTTGTTGGCACTGTCGTCCCTCTGACTTCAGCTCCTCCAGTATTACCCGAAATCCTTTTAGGAATTCGATGCCTGTGCAAAGCAGAATGCTTTTATGAATATGAAAAGAGGACCTAATTACTTTTGAACACACTTTCCTTCCTCTAAGATCACCGTCCTCTCCCCCTACACAATAGAGTAAAAGGCATTCTAAGTCAGGCAGGAATATCTGGGTTTACAGAAAGGAAAAAGGCATACCCTGCATTCCTCTTATACAGGCCAGGTGACTTTCTGTCCCACCATTACTAATGAATACATCTCTAATCCTGCCAGCTGAACGAACGTCCGTTTGCTCTATTGACATTACGGTTCAAATATTTAGACCCAAGTCACAATTGATCATAAAAATCTGAGGTGGAATATATAATTTCCACGTCATTAAACAAGGTGTATTCAGCTGACAATCATTTCCAGTGACTAGGGACTTGCCCCGAACCATGTTTCAAATACTTTCCATTTTAGTCCTATATTTGTTGGCGTGTTTCACTGAGCAATGTAGAAAATTCCCAGCAAAGTGTGTGTCTACACCCAAGGGGGTCCTAGGCTGGAGATTAAATAGCTTAGGAGAATGCCTATGTGATTTACAAAGCCGTCCTTGCTCTAATCACGCCTGAAAGGCAGACACCCAAGAGCTGCCCAGTGTGTGCTCTTGATGCTGCCCTCAGAGGCCCCCGGGACGCCCACAGCGCCGCTCAAAGGGACTGGCCCAGCCTCCCGCCACCTGAGCTTCCCCCGCTGCACGTCCAACTAGTTGCTTTCAAAAGGATTAAGCTCTGATGGCCACGAGAGCCGGTGCTGGGGCTTCGTATCCCATGGAGACTGGAGAGGTCCAACTGCAGCTGGAGTTCCCCGAAGCAGGCCTCAATTGGCAAGATATCGATTTCGCATTCTTTCGAAACACCAGACAAGGAGACATTTTTCAACCCTTCCCCTTTCCAGGGCAAGAGTAATTACACAGGATGCAATTAAGCAGGTGGGAAAATTATCGATGGCAAAGGCCAAGGAAATCTTTTTCTCTTTCGAATAGGTTCTCCAATCCTGTAATTATTTGATGAAGAGCACATATTTTATGGTGGGAAGGGCAAGGGAGTTACAATTAGAGCTTCACGACTTAAGAGGTCGGAGCACAGAGGGCACAAGTCCGGATCCCGCCGTGTTGTAGTATTTCTCGAATACAAAGCTTCCTGCGGGAGACAGGGCTGGCGGAGCCACAGCCAGAGACTCACACATGCTGACCAGATCCAAGGTTTCTGACCAGCAACTATTCAGGAGATCTCACAGGAACTTGTCTTTTGAAATCCTCCCATTCCTCCCCTGCAAATATTTTTGAACAAATCCTTATTATTTATACTAAGATTTAATTCATGCAATGCTGCCAGAACTGTTTAAACAAAAGCCAGGTGATTGATATGACTGTAAGACTGTACATCTCACAGTTACAGACAAATTCATCAGTTGGAGGTGGGAGTGGGTGATTCCAGTTCTTATATTTAAAAAGACTTGCCTGGAAAACCACTATTCCAAGTCTGGGAATAACTGTAAATCTTATAGTAACAGGTTTATCAAAATATTATAATATCTCGTAGTTAGATCATGTTTACAATTTTATAGCGCAGTAAAATAAAGGGACTTATTTACTCCTTGTTATTTAACTGATTGAATCCTTCTCACAACCACGAGAGGAAGGTATTGTCCCCACTTTATAGATGAGGAAACAGAGCTGTACAGACACTAGATGACTTGCCCAGGGTCACACAGGGATGAAATGGCCCAGGCTGGATCAAACCCAGAGTGCTCTTAATGCATGTGTTTTTCTATCTCCCAAGGAATCTCCTTAACAGAATCTCATAGACATTGCTAGAATCTATCCAGCCATCCCCACCCACACACTGTCATGCAGAAAAAGCTCATCTTTCTGCCCTCACGGTTCCACATGTCAGTTCTCCTCACATCTCTTACTTTCATTCTAAAGAAGGAGACTGCAATGTGTCAGGCCAATCCTTTAACCATTTTTAGCCTTATGTTGGAATGACCACTTTTCTTTTATCCACAGAGGATGTTTTTCCTTTTAAATGTTAAGATAATGTTGTTTTTGGAAAACCTGCTGCATTCAGACCCAGTGGTATTTACATGGAGAAGTGAGTCAGGCCCATAGGTCTGATACATTCTTCCTCTCTGTACTCACCTTTTCTGAATCTGGTTCCTTTGAGATTTACCCCATTTAGATTAAGAAATTCAGACTTTATCTTACTTTTTCCTTGGTCAGACTTTTTTTAAGTTCTAAGATTGGGTGGCAATGTCCTAGGAAACCTGAGGACTGGGATCTGATGATGATAACAACAGACACTATTACTGTTTTTTAAGAGCCCTCTTTAGAAATGCACTGTGTGTGTGTGTTGTCCTTAATTCTTTTTCTACTTTTAACAGGTTTATTGAGGCATAATTGGCATATAATTAGTTTCATTTTACAGAGAACATTTTCATATACTTTGACTTATGTGTATACCCATGAAACTGTCATTAAAATCAAGAACTTACCTATCACCTTCAAATTCTTTCTCCTGTCTCTTTATACTCCCTCTCACTTCTGTTTCCAGGCAATTAGGAACCTGCTTTTTGCCACTAAAGCTTTGTTTGTATTTTATTGACTGTGTCAATGCTCAACTTTTTTTTTTTTCTGTCTTGCTGATTTCATTCAGAAAAACTATTTTGAAGTTCATTCACATTGTTAAGTACATCACTGTTTCATTCCTTCATTGCTGGCTGGTATTCCATTGTGTGAACTCACCTCAGCTAGTCTATCAGTTTATGCACTGGACATTCAGGATGTTTCTAGTTTTGGACAACTAAAAATAAAGCTGCTATGAATGTTTGTGTGGATATATGCTTTCCTTTCTCTTGGGTAAACAGTAGTCAGATGCCTGGATCATGTGGTAATGCATATTTAACTGTTTAGGAGAATACAAAAAGGTTTTCCAAAGTAGTTATCCCATTGTACATTTCCATTCAATAATTCTTGCAATTTTTTTGGAGTATGCGTGCTCAGTCACTTCAGTCGTGTCCAACTCTTTGCAACCCCATGGACCATGGCCCGCCAGGCTCCTCTGTCCACGGGGTTCTCCAGGCAAGAATACTGGAGCGGGTTGCCATTTCCTTCTCCAGTGAGAAAGTATGGAGTGAGTGAAGTGAAGTCTCTCAGTCATAGTTGATTTATAATGTTGCATTAGCTTCTGCTGAATAGCAAAGTGAATCAGTTATACATATACATGTATCCACTCTGTTTCTAACTCTTAAATGAGGAGAAAGTCATATGCCTCAGATGGGGAAGCTGAGGCTCAGATAGGTGTAAATGCTTCTCTTAGAGGTTGTGTGTGTGTATGAGTGCACACTATCGTGTCTGACTCTTGGCAACCCCATGGACTGTAGACTGCCAGGCTCTTCTTCACATGGGATTTTTCCAGGCAAGAATACTGGAGTGGGTTGCCATTTCCTTCTCCAGGGGAATCTTCCTGACCCAGGGACTGAACCTGTGTCTCTTGCATCTCCCACAGCAGCAGATGGATTCTTTACTACAAGCGCCACCTGGGTAGCTCATCCTGGGTTCAAACCCAGGCCCATCTGAACAAATGAGCTCTCTCCATGTCCCACACTCAACTACCCCATCCTATCCTGGGCATCATCAATTCATTAAAGAGGACAAGCAGATTCAGCCCTAACTTGAATCTGGCCAGATAATGTAGGCTTGTTGTTTTTTTTTTCTGTTTAGTTTGTTTGGCTTTTTTTTCAGTCCATACAATTTAAATATAAATTCAGTTCATTTCCAACATTTAAAAATTGTTGATTCCATGATTTCTCCTGAAAACTGGGGTTGTCCTGACAACTCACAAAATGTGCCAAGGCTAGGCCGGTGCATCTCCATGTGGCCACAGAAATGCTGGATCCTGAATCCATTACATTCTTGGATAGGCCACTCATCCCCCCACTCCTGCTGAGACACACAAGCAAAGACCTCAGTGACATTTACCATTCACACACTATTATTTTACAAACCTACATCTCTCTCTATAACAGCCAAGGGAACAAAAGATGAGCCATGAAGCACAGCATGAAGCTGTGTGCATGCGCAGCCAGAGTTACAATCAAGTAGTGTCTGTTCAGAGGCATACCTAAGCCACACTTGTGTCAAGACCTACTTGGCCCCAGGAGGCCACTGCACTTAGGACCTCCGTATTGGGTACCACCCACCATCGTAGACTCCATTCGGACCACTTACCGAGGGCCCCGGGGGACCAAAGAATGGTGACAGCCACTTGGTCGTGGCAGGCGTACTGACTGATGGTGATGTTCTGGACGTCGGCGATCACGTGCTTCCCTATCGGACTCAAGTAAGTGGTGCAGTCTGGAGGGTTGGGAGAACGAGGACAGTTAGATTTAAAAATTTGTTTCTTTCTTTTTCTAAGTTCATCTTCTCAAATTACACAGAGCATGCTCGGAGTTAGCCAAATCTACTCTGTTTAAAGATGTGTGCCTCAAAGCCCACAGATGACATCAAAGGTTAGCTGTTGGGAAAACTATAAGATGCTGCCGTGGGGTTTATGTATAACACCACCACCCCCTCACTTTTGAGTTAAAGTGGTTGGAGGATTATGTAAGGTCTGGAGTTTGCTGTATCAGGCATTCACTTTTTTACATCTCTGACAGTTTACCTAAATCAGTAATAAGGTAGGTTAGTTCAAGATTTTTCCAATGTTACAGAGTGATCTGAAACCAAACAATGACTAAGTAATCTGGGGTTTGTTCTTTTTCAGAAGAAGCCAAGAGGGCAAGGTGACTGGGAAAGGGGAACTCTTAGGAGGATGTGAACTCGTGGGGGCGTCATTCACAGCCAGGCTGTTAAAGAATCCTATTAGGACCTACCAAAGGGACTAAGTGATTTAGTGATAAGCAGAGCACCTTGGATGTTAACTAGCATGACAAAGGTAAAACTTTTGTTCCCAACACTACCTCATCAAAGACACCCACAATACCCACTGAATCCAAACACTCCCATGGTGCTTGAAAAAAATGAAAACCACTGATTCTTTGATTTTGTCTGAGGACGTGACTCATTGCCACCTGCCCGTGCAGCAGCTGTGCCACCTGGAATTGCTAAGTACACTTTCAAAGTCTGCACAATCCTAAAAAGCTGCCCGAAGCATCCAGCCAGACCCAGGCGGGGACCTCAGAGGATGGCTGCAGGCTGTTTCAGCCACGCGTGCAGGGGGAGCCGCCAGCCTTCACTACAGACGTCAGAATTACACTACTTTATCGCTATTCCTTTCCAGTGATTAAGCTTGAAGACTTTCTTTAGTATCTGATGCAAAAGGTCTTCCATGAGATTTCAAACCTACTCATTACCCTCTCGGAAGTCAGGGGGTTTTGGGAGTGAGGTATTCAGAGGTATTTTCAAAGAAGCTTGGTGAGTTTGTGGCACTCCCATCCCCCCTCTCCATAAACTATACCACACATTTCCCATTTTTTAAGACAAAAAACATTCACGAGATATCTGAAAGTCACAGAAGAATATAAGAAAAACGTAGAAGTCATCCATAACCTCCCACCACACAGAAGTAACTGCTAACATCTAATGGATACTTTTGCAAGCCTTTTAACGTGCACATGATATTCTTTTAAAACTTCTTATAAGGGCACAACACACATGCACTGAAAGCACCCCCCTCCTCTTTGAAACTCCATCTTCCACTCTGCTTTGTGTTCTGCTTTTTTGCCTAACTCCTACAGAAGGCACACTCCCTTCTGCAAACTCCATCTGCTTCAAAAACAATCACCTCTACATTTCAGCATTACTTTTGAAAAGATGTTAATGATTAATAAAACCAAATTCTACTTCTGATGAAAATTCACTCTCAAAGTGTTCTACATGTGTTCTCTAGATAGACGAGAACTTTAAAAAATGTTGAAACACCTGGTTTAACACACATATTGAACAAACAAGGAAACTGTAGCTACAGTGATCGCCTGGGTGGCTTGCAGTGTTGCCAGTGATCAGCCCAAGGCCAGGACACAACACCACCTCTGAGGGATCACACAAAAGGCTCTTGCCGTTCTATCTCCAGCACAAAGCTGGACTAAAAAATAAGTTCTGAGTCAGAGGTATTAACCGGCAGAAATCCTGGCTGAGGCCAGCTTCTCAATAAAAAAAAAAAAGAAGACAAAATCCCACCATATATATAAAGTTCAGGCATTTTCATTTATTGAGATCTACAATGAAAGAAGGGGCCTTCCAGGTGGCACTTGTGGTAAAGAACTCACTTGCCAATGCAGGAGACATGAGAGACACAAGTTTGATTGATCCCTTGGAGAAGGGCACGGCAACCCACTCAAGTATTCTTGCCTGGAGAATCCCATGGACAGAGAAGTCTGCCAGGCTAAGGTCCATATGGTCCCAAAGAGTCGGACACAACTGAAGTAACTTAGCACAGGACAGTACATAATGCAAGAGAACTTTTGACTTCAAACAGCTTTAGGAAAAGATTCATGGACAAAAGTAAGTCATTTTCTTTCTTTCCTCTTTTCTCATTTCTAATGTCAAAATCGGCTTTCTCTAGGTTTCTGCAAATACAATTATGCAAATATAAAGTCTATGAATTAAAAAAAAATGTATTATAACCTATTCAGGCATTACCCCCTCAGAGCCTGAAGAAGAAACAAGAAATCCAGTGTTAAAGGAGGCAAGATCTGAGAGCTGGTTTTGACTTAAAGGCAAGACATTTTCTTTCTTTGTAACATTAAAGAGCAAAGGAATAGAAAAGTAACATTTCTGTAGTTTAATATTTTTGGTGAAAACTTGATAATTGGTTCTTAGCTATATTCAAACAGAACTAGTAACCAGTCAACAGAGCAGTAACAGGAACTTCTTGTGGGAGAAATAAATTATCTTTTTCAATGGAAAACAATAACTAAGTATTTTTGCACAGCCTGGATCCAATTATTAGCAACTCTAACATTTTGGATTCTGGTTACAAAATAATTATGCCCAAATGACATTTGGCCAAAATGCAACCTAGCTTCAGATGTCTCAGGAGTTGAGTTGTGAATTAAATTCTAATTAAATGCCAAAGAATCAGAAAGAAAATAATGACCAAGAGATAGACATTGGCATGGGGGCCACATATCTAGTCCCATGAAGGAAACACTAAGGCATTTTAAGTTTTATAGGTATGGATCCTCTTTCACAAAACCCCATATTAAATTAGAGATGCAAATAGTTGTTTGCAGCTGACTGGAAAGTTTTGAACTTTGAATGTAATACAAGATCTACCAGGACCAAGAACATATTATTAGAAATTAACTTTCGAATCTAAAGAAAGATCCCTTACACATCTTTACTTAGCTGAAAGCGTCTCATAGACTTGTAAATCTTTCCTAAGCATCACAGCATTTACCCAGAACATGCATGCATCATGGACGTGAAGTATCTGAGTTTCCCATGTTAAATCCTCATCAGTGAAAGTACCCATGCCAGCAACTGTGGGCATGAACTTGACATCCATACTTGTATTTAAAATTGTTCGGTTGCACACATGATCTCAAAAACCCTGCTTTAGTAGTATTGATTCCAAAGGCCTCAGTGTGACCTACAGCCCTGACTCATAATTCTCTCCAAGAGACAAATCAAACATCAGGAGTCACTAATATGAATCAATCTCCTTCCTGTCAACATTCCTACCTATAAATTATGGCTTGTAAGGCTAAAATTGCTCATAATTCTATATAATTACCTTCTAGGGCATGAAAGCAGATGCTCAGAGGGGGTTCTATGTGCTTCATCAGAAAAAAAAACAAAAAAACCCAACCTGCCCTCAGGAAACAATTTGGTCAGAAAAAGTCCCAATTCCTTGACAGAAGGGCCCCAAAAGGTGCTTGGGTTCCAGCTCCAGTTGGAATGACTTCTAATAGTAACATATCAGTTACTGAATGCACACTGAGGCCAGATCCTGAGATGAGCAGTTATAAGCATTACCTCACTTAAGTCTCAAAATGGTGCTGAGGAAGTTAATCATTACTTCACATGATGAGAAAACTGCGGTTTGGAAAAGTGGAGTCGTTGGCCATCGTTCACGGCTGATGAGGTGGGGGATGGGGTGAGAACTCAGGCCCCCACCAGAGGTGGCTGACTGGAGACGCCCGGGCCCATCTGAGACACAGATTCACTCGGCCCACTCTGTGTTTGTGAAAACTTTTAAGTAAATGCCAATATATATTTTTAATTAATTTATTTAATTGGAGGATAATTACAATGCTGTGGTGGTTTTTGCCATGTATCGACATGAATCAACCCTGGGTGGACGTGTGACCCCTTATCCTGAACCCCCCCTTGCACCTCCCTCCCTACCCCATCCCTCTGGTTTGTCCCAGAGCACCAGCTTTGAGTGCTCTGCCTCATGCATAGAACTTGCAGTGGTCATCTACTTTACATATGGTAATATACAATATATATATTTTTTAAGTCCATGCTGGGACTTCCCTTGGTGGTCCAGTGGTTAAGACTTTGCACTTCCAGCGCAGGCGGCATAGGTTTAATCCTTGGTCGGGGAACTAAGGTCCCTGAATGCCACACAGCATGCCTCCCCCGCCAGAATGCTCAAACTAAAAGAAATCAAATTCCCCACTCCTCTTGGAAACCACATCTGACTGAGCTGGCATGGAGGACCCAGTGCTCCTCTAGGACCAGACCCGGGCTGTCCAGCTTACCACGGTCGCCATCACTCTCAAGCATCCTGTGCTTGGGGTGCTTTGCTATTGTGACCCCTACTGGGCCCAAGGGCATCTGGGTTGTTCCTAAGGATACGGCTATCTCCTGAGGAAAGCAGGGGAGGTCTCCCCACACAGCTGCTCTTAGCACTCTGCAGGACAACCAGCCCATTCAAGCCCTGACATACTCGCGTGGCTTAGATGAGTCTGAGCTGCTTCGGCTCTGTTGACAAACCTGAGCAAGTTCAGGAAATCCCCCCACTCGAGGACCTGCAGGGTCCCCGATTAAGCACGACCGTGCAAGCTTTAGATCACTGAGGGGGCTCTGTTCTGCAGCGGTCAAGTCATTTACTTACTGTCATATCTGAAGGTGATGTTGTGCAGCCCGCTGTTTCTGCTGGCCGGCCCCACTCCCTGTGGGAAAACAGGAGACCATGAGGAGGAGTGAAGTCAACTTGCTTTTCCAGCACAGATCCCCATGGAGTCAAAACGCACACATGATCGCAGAGACCCAGAGTCATGCCAGTCACCAAGCAACATCCACGCTCTTCGTGGCCCCCCACCCCCGGTCCCCCCGCCCAACTCCCCCCAGCCCAGGAGGTTCCTAACTGCGCCCAACTCCCTCCAGCCCAGGTGGTTCCTAACTGCCAGGCCACAGAGAAGAGGGATACTCACTTCCCCTGAAACAATAGCAGCAGGCTGCTCTGTGTTTGGGGGTTAAATAATAATTCATTAACAGTAAAATTGGGAGAGAGAGAGACCATGAGCTGCCAGCTGGAGCCCATCCAGTTGGATCCACTTTTGAGCACTGATTGGTTATAAAATTTGCCTACCAGACACTCTCGTCCAAAAGCCCTATTAAGCCACAACAGATAGGCAATTCCTAAAGTTCGAGGAAACAGGTTTTTCATTCCAAGAGCGGGAATGAGTGTGGGAATAAGCTGTTAATTTTAATGAGAAAATTCTTCACTGCCTCCATACCTATGCTTGGAACATAGACGGTGGGTCATAAAAGAAAAAGAAAGGACTTTAAAAGGTCTACCTCTGACTCTCAGTGATGTGGCCACTAGCCATCTGTACTCCTAATAGCAGGGCTAACAGCTCCGCCAGACTTCCCACTTTAATTACAGCATCCACACGGGAGCCCCGGCATCCTCCTGGTGGCCCCACCTTTTCCTGACCCACCACTTATCCACCATGGGAAAGATCAGCTAAGACTCTGGTTTAACTGTTTCTGTAACCGTCAGCAAGTGCACCATTCGGCATGAATTGCAGGATTCTCCCCCCCAACACAAAATGTTAATTCTTAGATGCTAACTGATGGGAAAATATTCTAACCACACAGCTACAATTTCCACCCGACGAAGTGGATGCTGGGGAAAACCATATGCTGGCAGTCTGGTATTTAATGGGCAGTTGTTACACTGAGATGCAATGTGCGGAACCCTTCTGACAGAGCCCAGGGTCTCAGGCCACAGTCCCAGCACATCCATATGGTACAGACATGTTCACTTGGCTTATCCTGAGGCCAGGCACACCCACTGAAGCTGTAACCCTGGGCTCAGATAAACACAGATCTTGGGAAAGCACAGCTGTGCAGAAAGGGATGGACACACCTCGTTCTAATTAAAGTGAGGAAGAAACGGTTAACAGAAAATCTAAATCATCATGGCGCATTAGCTCCATGATCAGCTGGGGTTCCCCTCCCCTTCTTCCTGGTTCACCTCCTTCTCCAGCTATCCTCCTTCCATCCTCCCTTCCACGTATATATGAGATTCCAGAATTCCTCACCTGAGTTGAAACACTTTGCAAAGTGTTAATACCTTACACAAACCTTAAATGCCTCTATTACTGATTAGAGAAGGCCCACAGTCTGCAACTGGAAGATGCCCAACATACAGATGGCCACAACCAGAGCACCACGACCAGAAGGAGACCAGGAAGTAGAGGATACAATATCTCCATGACCCCTAGGTCTTAGGACCCCCAAGACAGCCAAGCCATACCCTTCGCCTCCCATACAAAACCCCAGGACCAAAATTCACTTGGATTCCCTGGTGGCTCAGATGGTAAAGAATCTATCTTCAACGCAGGATGCCAGGATTCAATCCCTGGGTTGGGAAGATCCCCTGGAGAAGGGAATGGCAACCCACTTCAGTATTCTTGCTTGGGGAGCCCCATGGACAGAGGAGCCTGGTGGGCTACAGCCCATGGGGTCGCAAAGAGTCAGACATGAATGAGTGGCTGACACACGTCTACTGTGAGTCAAACATTACACGAGGTACAGGGGTGAATGAAAGTCATTATCCTTGAGAGCAAAGTGGTCCATTCATTCAAAGGACGCAAATCACACACAGCACATACAGACAAATCTCCAACCACACCTTGACCCTCCGAGAACTCTCAGTATAGAAGGCATACAAGGTCTATGTAGCTATGGTAACAGGGCCATAAATAAGCACACAGCGTACGAGATGTCACAAACAGTACGTCAGAAAGGATAAACCCAGGGTAAGAACACTGCGTACCAGAAGTTTAAAAGAGGGAAGAATAACTGGGCTAGAATGGAGAGGAAAGGGGGGTCTCAGGAGAGGAAAAGAAAAAAAATGTAACCCAGGGGCCAATGAAAGTACCTTTATCCTTCATCCTCTAGCTGGGACCAAGGGCAAACCACCTCACTCCACTGGGTCTGAGTCTCCTCAAATTGTCTTTTTATTAAAAGACAATTCTTTCCTCTGAGATGGGAGTTTGAGGAGGGCCACATGAAGCCATGCAAAGGAAGCATTTTTCAAAAAGGAAATGCATTCCATTTAATAGCATGCCCTGAGGCGTGTAGGACTCTGGTGACCAATCACATCAGCTTTTCATTTTGCTCTTGTTCTCCCTATGTTTCTATTGCAACATTTTTAACAGATATTCATTGGGCACTTGCCATGAATGCACTATGGAAAGGAGACCAAGACAGCGAGAGGGGCTATATTCTGTATTCAGAAACCAAAATCACTGTAAATAAGGGCTCTGTGATGCAGGTGAAGCTGCTCAGAGGCAGGCCCAGGGGCCTGGCCTCAAGGGACAATGAGGCTTGCCTGTAGCATCCACTCACCACCAACTGAGCATTCCACCTTCATCAAAGAGCACTCGGCTAAGAACCAGTCCTGGGTCCTGACCTGAGGCAGGTGGCAGAGGGTAGGGCATGGCCTCTGGCCACCAAGGTGACCTCCTGACATGCAAATCTGCCCTCATTCTGCTCCAAGCCCACCGACGGCTCCCTGCCCCACTTAGACCATTCCTGACATGGCCCCTGCCTACCCTGTCACTCACTCCCCTCCCCGCCTCCCACCTTGTTCTGGGCCTACACGACTGCTCAGTATATGTTCTGGGGACACACATATTCCCTAAATGCCCTTCCCTTCACCCGGGGCCTGCTCCTCTATGGCTTCTCACCTTAGCCTAGTCCCTCTCACACTGTGTTCCTGACACATCAGCTTGCCTATACACTTTTTTTTTAAATATACTTATTTACTTACTTGTTTATTTATTTGGCAGGTTCTGGGTCTTAGCTGCGACACGTAGGATCTTTTAGTTGTGGCATGTGGGATATGGTTCCCTGACCAGGGATCGAACCCAGGCCCGCCTGCATTGGGAGCTCGGAGACTTGGCCACCAGACCACCAGGGAAGTCCCTGCCCGTGCACTTCACTTGATGGGAACACAGTGATCCATCCCCACAATTTGACCGGCATAGCACTTCTCTGAATGCAGAGGCAAGGTGGTCATCCTAATTCCACAGAAGATCAGAAATAAAAAGACCATGTGATCAACCAAGGCTGATCGTGCGAGCAGGAGGCACGGGCTCCTGTGTAAAGATTTTTCACACTGGGATGTCATCAAGTACACAGCTTCTCAGCACATGCCTCAGACAGACACTCCACCAGGCTGTCCTCAGCTCACACCCAAGAAATGCTTCAGCTGCTCCAGAGTCCTAGGACCCACCTGAGCAGCAGTGCACCAGGCTGGCCCCCAGAGCACTGGTTTATCTTAGACAGAAGAACCACCACCCCGGCAACACGTCCACACACGCGCTCCAGAATGCATGAATATGTTACTCTACATAACGAAGGGGCAGTACCGTTAAGTTTCAGGACCTTGAAATGTAGGGGAAAGCAGTCTGATTTATCCAGGTGGGCCTAATAATAATCACAAAGGTCCTCAGAAGAGGGAGATGGGATGGTCAGTCAGAGGAGACATGACAATGGCCGTAGAAGGCAGTAAGGCAGAGGCAGAGAGATGGTTTAAAGATGATTTAAAGATCTTATACTACTGGTTTGGAAGATGGAGGAAGACGGGGTTAATAAGCTGAGGAATGCAGTTAGTTCAGCCACTAGACGCTGGAAAAGGCAAGGATTCTCCCCCCAGAGCCTACAGATAGAGGCCACCGACACCTTGATTTCAGCCCCAGAAGATTCATTTTGGAGTTCTGATGTCAAGAGCTATAAGATAATAAGTTTGCAGTATTTTAAGTCACTAAGTTGGTGGTAACTTTTTAAAATTAACTTTTACTGGAGTATGCATGTGTGAACATACGCGCGTGCTCAGGCGTGTCCAACTGCAATCCCACGGACTGTAGCCCGCCAGGCTCCTCTATCTATGGAATTTTCCAGGCAAGAATACTGGAGTGGGTTGTCATTTCCTTCTTCATATTGGAGTATAGTTGGGTTACACTGTTGTACAGTGGTAACTTTTTATTACAGCAGCAATTGAAAGCTAATGACTTACATAATTGCAACTGCCACGTGGATGAACTGCCTCTCAATGCCACACACACACACACACACACACACACACACACACACTTGTGCTGTCATTCTCCCCTCCTGCTGACGATCACTCTCACTGCGCCCTCTCCCACCCCCTCTTCAGGCAGATGCGGAACCCTGATCCGTGAGCACTGCCACTGTAGATTTTGCCATCCTACACAGACACGTCTGTGCAGGGACACTGGGGCTCATCTGGAGTAGAAGAGTGGTTAAGGGAATGTGGTCTGGGATTGCCAGAGGTGTCTGCAGATCTCCTCACTTTCCAGCTGTGTGACTTTGGGCAAGCTTCTCAACCTTTCTGAGCCTCATTTCTCAGTGCTGTAAAGTGCTGGAATCAAGCTCCTTGGAAAGGACTGGTGTGGGGACCACGTGAGATGATTGATATGTGTCAAGTGCTCTGCACGGCACCTGGCACATATTGAAACAGTTATTTCAGAGGCAGCAATGGCTGTGTCATGATTCCTGAGAAGACTCCTGCCCTAATAAACACAGTGAGAGCTATGCTACGAGGGGACACACGAGGGAGGCAGGGGGATGCCCAGAGGAAGTGGCATTTCCAGGTACGAGGTTTCCAGCAGCCAGGCCTCGGGGGCACGGT